ATTTTTCAACCCCCCCCCCCCCCGGGGGGCGCGGGTGCGGGTGTGTGTATGTGTGTTTCCTATTACATATTCTAGGCCAAATTAAAACTAGTGTGTGACACCCCAGGTCCTCAAACCCCAAGTTTCACTGTAATTTTCTTCATTGAAGTGTTAAAACTGAAACACAGTAGTATTTAAAAGTCCATTTTAAGAACTTTATGACAATTTAAGTTTTATTTCTTTAATTTTTTGTTTTTGGGCTATGGTATTAATTTAAGTATTAAGACTTTTTGTTCGATGTTTATTCAAGACTAGTTTCTTTCAAATCGTATTTTAGTTGTAACACTTCTAATGAAGAAAGTTATAGTGACACTTGGGTTTTAAATCTAGCATCTCAAAAGCTGCTTCTGTTAAAAAAAAAAATGATCAGCTGCTGTAATTCAGGGCATGATATTGATAGGATCCCCTGCCCCTGCTACAGCTGAGCGCCAGTAAGCTGCTAATCAAGGAGAAAAGATTAAGAATAAGGTGCTGCAATACTATGATGAGTGATAACTGAAGTACAGGAATTGGATTTAATGGAATTGTAACAAGTTTATTGAAACTTAATCACGCCTGGAATCTCTCCTATCCCAACTGAGTATCACTGCACAAAAGCCTCCTCTCCATTTCCCTCCATCATATTTATAGACACTCTTATCTCTATTATCACTTTCACCCTTGTTAACTAACTTGGTAGAATATTCTGGAACAGTGGCCGATTTGGCTGCCTTCTTTCCCTCCTTGATTAATTCAAACGTATTGAAGGTCTATCAGATATCTGTATGATATTAAAAACTATATACTGAATGGGTCAAATCTTTTAAGATTCATTCTGAACCCGAAGATGGTGGATTTAGTGAAGATTCAGAGGTTACTACATCAATTGAACTTAAAACATATTTACTGCTTAGCTCCTGTTTGACCCCCATTCTGAAAAACTCATTTTCCCCAAACTAATTCTTAACCACACATATTTTCAATAAAATAAATTTTCCCCTAAAGCCAAAATTTTTCCCTAGACTTTTTAACCACATATTCTCCAAAAAATATGGGTTCAAAAACACCCTTTCTTTTTATTATTTCTTGTCATTTTCTCATCAATTTGAGGTGCAATTTAAATTGAACTATAAGGAACAGGAATTGATTGCTCTCCAGAATTAGAAATTGACTATTTACAAAAATACGCTTATTAGTCCAACAAAGTAGATAAAGAAACAAAAAGCCCTAAACACATTTTTATCCACTTTCTTCCAGAAAACAGCGCAGAGTGAAACCCTGAGCAAATAATTGGCATAGTAATACCTATAACCAGACATTCACAACCGACATTGAAAACTTCTGATACCATCAACAAATGACATGTTCCATTACATTTGGTAAGATCTTAAATCATCATCATCATCAACAGAAAACCACATTAGATTTGATATGATATCAAATCAAATTTCAAGAAGTTGGGGTGATGGAACAAATGCCGTTTGCTGATTATAGTTTTTAAAATTAGACTGTTGTTTGTTCAGTTTGGCAGACAGAAAAAGCATCAGGAGCCTTTGCCACCCATCTATTATGCTTGTAGTGAAAGAGAAGATAATTCATTTATTTGAATAATTGTAGCTCACCAAAATAAAAGTCCATGTTAACGGCTAAAAAAACCACTGAATCACAGTATTAACCAAAAAAGCCATGATTCTTTTTAAGTTAAGACATTTTTAAAAAGCTCTAGGGAAATGAGCTCCTGACCGAAATCCAGCTCGTATCCATCCATATAAATTTTTGGATGTACTATACAACTGAATTAGCTCAATATCTTGAAGTACCTGAACAATCGTGATGAAATCCATCAACGACCAGTTTATAGATGTGCAAAATGGATAGAGGTGTGAGTTTCAGGGCCACAATCAGTTGTAAAGATCTATTTTTTACTGGATCTGTAAATTAGCCTACTGAAGTATGCAGTAAGTAAAAGAATCCAATGATTAATTTATTAAACAACGCAACAATACTCCATCTCATATTGACCAAGGCTAGACTGACAATTATAAAATCAGAGTTATTTTAACCTGTGAAAGAATGGAGCATAAGGAGGATCCCATCGCCTGCATCACATCAAGGGCCGAGCATACAGCTGCCTTAACAACTTCAATGTCTCCCTGGAAATTGTAGCTTGAATTATAACTTCTCTTTGCCAATTGAAACCTTAGAACTTGTCCACTGACTTACCCTTGCTCCCCCAGTAATGGGAATACAGAGAACGCCTGCCTGCACATCTTGGATAGCCCATGACAATGAGTTGGTGTGCTCTGTTTCAATTGAAGCCCACTTATCAAGACATACCACCTGAACAGGTTGCATTTATGTTAAAAGCTTTAGAAAAATCCACTGAAGGAAAAATATAGCATGCAGTTTAAAGATTGACATCCCAATTTGTATACCCCAATAGGAAATACAAGCTACTTATGGGTTTCCTCAGAGCCCATGCACATACATTTTTTGGCAGTTCATACAGGCCATATTGCAGGTTTCACTAGGTACGCTTGAAAGTCACAATCACATACAACAGGCCCATGTGCTGGGGCATGACAAATTGTATCAAACAGAATATCAGTTGGAACAACGAGAACTAAATGCTGTTCAGGACAAAGTGTAATACTGCGCACAAGTGTGTCTCCGGAACAGATTTAACTGCCAGTGATTTAAGGAAAGATGCAATAAGTACAGCTTCCTTGGATAATTATTCTATGTTTAGACTTCCTGTAATTCAAAGAAACCAGAAGACGTTGCACTTCCAAACTATAAAGAAGAATTCAGGGCAATAACTTTGTGTTTCAACATCCAATAACTTCCCAGATTGTCTTTCTTTGCACGAAAGAGTTATTGAATTAGCTCAGGGTAATTTAAGGAATTACTAAAACACACTGCCCTGAGACGATTTAAGGGGAAAAACAAAAAAAAAAAAAAAATTGAATCTACCAATTTCTATTTTCACCTTGTCCATTTTATGCTTTCCAAAGTAGCACACCTAAAGATGTGAGCACCCATATAACTTATTTTAAAGGGAGAATATCAGAAACAACCATGATTAACCACAAGGTTTTAAATTTTCTAATGATATTAGCTTAGCAATCTTCCTTTTTTTTTTCTTTTTCTTTTTTTTTTTTAATTATACTTTAAAAATTTAACCAACTTTCCCTTCTAGCAGTCACTCACGGATTTTTAAATTATAAACTATAGACCAGAACTCAGCCCAAAGTTTTCCAGGTCTTTCTGCCAATCACTGGAAATACTATTTTATTATTAATACTCAGGAAACCAGCCTCTCCCAGCTTCTATTACCTCTTCTACATTAGCATATATTTTGCAAAAGCACTTAGGTTTGCCCAGGCAATGGTTACAACTATTTACTACAGCAATCAACTATTAGTCAGAAACATATCAAATACATCCACATGGAGAAACTTCTTAAGGAAATTCTTCATCTTATGTAAAGTCAGGACAGCTGCTTCTATAAAAGTAAGGCTTCGAATATCTATATGACCAGCAGCCACTACCGTGTACACAAACTGACAAGCTAATCTCACAAATCTCCTTTGCTTATGATGAGGAGGAACTCCTTTGTCTCCTACCTTGCCAGATTGTCTCCCATGTCCTATTTGGAATGCCAAGTGCTTCTAAACAGGATTCCATAGTCGATCTCGTGGATTCCTTTCCCAGCTTTAGTGTCCCACATGATCGATCAATTTAAAACATTGAAAAAACAGTCACAAATACCACACCACATTGTTTCAATTGAAATGGGAAGTTGTAGTAAAAGAAGTATTACCTGATTGTTCAAAACTTTGCAGAGCCTCAACTTGAACCTTAGTTGCTGGATGTCAATCCGTTTCCCAATCACCCAATCACGTAGATCTACAATTGTTCTCCACACCCTATACAATGTTTTCTGCAGCATCAAAGACTTCTAATGAATTGCATCTTAATTCAATCAAAAACAAACACATACCACAAAAGAAAGAAAAGAAAAATATTGAAGAAGACTACAATAACTAATGAGATTAATCCAGGTCATATATAACTTCGCGTCATGATTGAGGATGTGATAGAGCACAAAAGTTGAAGCATAATAATCTATGCTGCTCGAGAACTCATTCCATATTTTTTTTCCTTCAGTTGTCATGACCAGAGACGATTATCTTACCAATAAATCAAAATCTATTCTTCAACAACTAGCTAATACCTAGCATTCACCAAAAAAAAAAAAAAAAAAAAAAAAAAAAGGAGCAGCCTCTGTTTGGGATTCTTTTTTATTTTATTATTATTTTTATTTTTATTTTTTGGTTGCTCGAATTATAGATTGGTAAAAATGAGTGATAAATAAGTTGGTAATACTTGTGGATCCTATGAAATGTAAAACAATGTTTCACTTTAAAAATGAAGTTTTTGCCAAAAAAATGAATCCCAAACAGATACAAAATAATGCAATGTCTGAAGCAATTTGTGCATCCAAGAAAGGCCACCATAGTTACAGATCTTACATTAAAAATAACAAAGGCTTATTCCCGAGAAGGAACTTAGCTTACACAACAGTTAAAGAAAAACCATAAGATAGGAAATTAAATGGGAAAAGAGATGATTAGATATGTACAGAACATGAAAAAGGCATGCTGAAGTTCCACAAAGGTAACAACTCAAACCTCTGCTTTTACTTTCTGAACGCGCAATGCAGCATCTGCTCGAGCATTTGCATATTGCCATTGCAGTTGTCGATTATATAGCAGCCTCAATTGATGAACATCTTCTATGTGATTTGCAGCCTTCCTCCCTCTCTTAATATCCACAATAAAACTGAGAACAGAAGTTGAAGCCTGTGGTTGTCTGGATGGGCTCGATGGTCTTACCTGAGCAGGACTATTACCTATAGAAGAAGAGGAATTGACAGTCTTTGTTCGAGACAGACTGATCTCTCTAGTTACAGAGGGCGAAGCAGGGCGAGAGCCACGAGGCAAGGACTGAGATCTAACAGCAGGCTTCACTAAAGGTGTTCCATCAAATATACTTGAAGACCCGGGCTTTTGAATCAGCAATGAACCATCATCAGCTGAAAAACAATTCGAACTTGAACTATCATTTCGATCACTAGATACTAAGGTTAACAAGTCACTAGAAGATTTTTGCAAAGGTCTACTTGCCCCATCAAAAGATAATCTCCTTAGGGTACGTGTACCCATTCCTAAATGGGATGAAGTTGGCGTTTTGCTATTTTTTTTAGTAATATCGATACTTCTGTTCAAAATGTTGGAGGATACTTTTCCTGGGATTCTACTTGGCCATCGATGTTGATCCAATAATCGGCTAGGCAAACTATCAACCGGTCTTGAATTCTCGGACTGATTGACAGAATTCTTTCCTTTAAGTGGACTCCTCTTCCTTTCTGGCGTGGGCTTTCCAGAAGCAGGAGGAGTTTCACCCTTTCTATAGGTTATATTTAATGATGACTTCATATTGCGATCCGAAAGAGCATGAGACACTGGTTTCTCCATCTTATTAACAGGACGAGTCAAGGTATCAGATTGTAAAGAAACACAGCGATTGCACACGGTAGATGGCCATAAAGACTCTGGTAATCTGTTGCCTACTATTTTCCTTGATGCAAATAGCATTTCTGCAGTTGTATCCCCGACTGGTGTCGACGGAGACAGGCTAGGTGGGGATGACGGTCTAGAGGGGAACTTCCTTTCGGCCGATATAGCCCTCTTTGGTGCCAGTACAGTTGAGTTTGATGATACCTTAACAGTTGGCGAAGGACAACATTTTGGACTGGCAGCTGTCGACGGTGTAGGAGACCTATACCTAGAACTAACATCTCTGGTTCGAGACCGACGGGTGGTTTCATTTTTGTTGTCAGCGGGAACCAATGGGGGTCTTGTAGTCTCTTCTGTTGATCGTTTCTGTAATGCTTGCTCTGACTCACATGCATCCATCCAGACTGCGCACATTTGACCACATTGATGCTCCCCTTTATATATTAATAATAATTATTCACACACACTTTGGCAGGCTTTCACTAAACCACATAATCTACTGGTCAATAACGCTGATTGCTCCAACTAGATTCTTTCTGCTGCTGAAAATTTGCCTGATAGATTCACACTGAGAAAGAGAGCTACTACAGAGGGGAAAATAAAGAAAAGAAAAGAATAAGGCGTGATGAAAAAGAAAAAGAAGAACAAAAGAATACATCTTTACAGAAACCCAGATCCCATTAATACAACTTGACCCCGAATTCACGCAAATCACACAATTAGACAATGGCAAAAAGAAGTTATCAAATGAACAAAATCTAATGAGGGCTATATGTAATTTAACAGCTAGAATAATGGTGAAAAGCAGATTGAAATTACAGCCTATTGTAACAAAAAGAAAAGGTCGTGGAAGTTAGTTCCACCCTCACCACTGGGAAGAGTAGAGGGACCAGTAATGGAGTAGGAGAATAGAATTAACTAATGGGAATTGTGAGGGATAAGAGTGCCCCTCGTGCTTTTTCATATTCCTACATGTATTTAGTTTCTTTTCTTCTTTTCTGTTTTAGGTTTTGTCCCCAGCCTTTTGTCCATGTCGCGGGAGTACCATTGTTGGTTAGGCTGGGGCTGGAACTCTCAGCATGTTACTCGGACACGCACATTTTCAGCGAGGAACACTCACATTCAGAGCTCTTCTGGCCTGTTCCTTCTTCCCCACTCAACTCCTTTTCATGAAAGGGAATTCCTTGAAAATGATACCTTCAACTGTCCTTTCTGTCTCACAAGCATATGTTCAAACAGAAAGATTAATGTATAGATGCTCACATACACATACAATTACAATGAGGCAAAACTAAAAAACAAATTAAGAAAAAGTTCAGGAAAATTATATACTTTTCTTGAGACCACCTTTGCTTTTCTTCAAAGCCACTCAAATGGTAATTATTTTCATCTTGGAGCTTTGCTAATTGTTAATTAATTGGCAGAAAATAATTCCAAATAATGATTAAGGATTTGTTTGTACATGAAACAATAAAAAATTGGGAAAACAATGAACAATGATTATCGAGATCCGGGAACAGAGACATGGAGACAATGTGCAAGTAGAGATCACTGTCCATCTCAATAAACTCACAGTACCGTAAATTCACTAAACACCAAAACTAGAAGTAATTATTTAAGTATTATTTATATTAATTTGCATTAATGAAGCATCGTTATGTGAAGAGATCACACTTTTACCGTTTCTATTCTTTTTCATCGTATTCAGGAACACAAATCGATGCGAACCTTTTCCGTTAGAACCACAGATATTGCCCTTCGAGCTCCATTCTTTTGAAAAATTTATTTTTCAAAAAGAGTATTTTGATATCATTTCAATTACACATTATTTAATAAAATAATATTATATATAAATTCAAAAATTTTCCTTATTTTTTAATCACACATTTCTCATCAATACACTATTCAAAAATTCATTCTTCCCCAAATAATGGGGCTCAAACAAGGACATTGTAAGTGTAGACTGTAGAGGAATTTTAAATGAATAAATAAATGCACGAAATAATGTTCTGTGGCTTGTTAGATTTTGTTCCTAATTATGAGAACCACTGTAGATTCACTATAATCTCCATACAGAAGCCTCAAAAACCAGTAGAAAAAAAAAAATTCTGAGAAAAAAATTTCCACCGAAATAAACAGAGCAGTAAAAAAATAATACAAAAATTTCTACTTTTGTTCACAAACTACATTTCGAAACCCTAGAAACTTTTTGAAACACATAAATAATAAATTTTCCTATTCCTCAAACCTCATAAAATATTTAAACAGAAAAATTACGGAAAACTATTTTTCATCAATTTACTCAAAAAGATGGAATGAAGAAAACTATCCGAAGATAATAAAGAATTGATTAAAAAAACAAAAATTTGTATTGAGTCTAAGAAAAACATGAAATCAAATTGAAATACAATACTGTAATAACAAAAATACATTATTTTCGCAAACATTATATAATCTTAAGTACCTTTATGCTCCAGTAGTTAGGAATAACTGTAATCCCTTAAGATTCTCGACAAAATTTCACAACAAAGAAGATGAAAATTTATGTTGCGTGTATATTCATTTATATGCGTAATTAATCATATGTTAACATAAATATAAGAATAATTAATGATTAAATTAAATAGAAATAAACAAAATAAATGTAAGATAAAAGAAGAAAAACATATAGGAAGTTTCAGTGGAAGGGAAGTTGAAGAGGCGGCGGTTGTTTTCGCTCCATCTAATTAATTAATTATTAATCGTTATTTAAATTTTAATTACTTATGCGCTAAGCCTGTACAGTGGCAGTGACAAGTATTTTTTCTGACGGTATTGCCCTTGATAATTGTATTAGAAACAAAGGTTGCGGTTTAATTGCCAGGGGTAACAAAGGAAGGGAGATTAGTGTTTTTCAAATTAAAATGATTGGTTAATGCTATTTAGGTGTTAGAATATTCGTAAGATAACATTTTTAAAAAGTTAAAATTTATTTTTGATTAAAATGTTAGGATAATTTATTAGAAGCTCTTTGTTTGAATAAAGGAGTTTTTAAAGGACATTGACGAGGGAAAAATTACCTCAAATCATACTTTTTAAATTTTAATTTCACAAATCAGGTTGTAATTATTTTCTATCGAAAATCAGGTATAGCCGACACCATCCCACCCCTTCAATCAACTTGCAAAAAATTTTCATTTACAAGAAATAGAAGCATGGCCATGGCCAAATCCTTATTAAAGAAAAAAAAAATGGCATAAAAATATTAAGAAGTTGACCTGATTTAACTGTTCTTTTGCCCTATTATACTAATGAATAATATTATTTAACACCGATGATATTTACACGAGTCAGCATATCATGGATCATAATAAAGGGGACGTAATTTCATGTATTTAGAGGGTGTTTGGGAAATATTTTATATAAAAATGTATTTTTGAGTAGTAAATTGATGGGAAATATGTGGTTGAAAAATATGAAAAAAAATTTTATTTACGTGTAATATTATTTTAATAAAGAATGTGTAATTGAAAAAATAGAAAAAAAATGTATTTTGAAAAAAAAATGGGTACCAAACGGGACCTTAATTGAATCTATAATTTAATGCCACAAGTGTTATGTCCAAAAAGGATATTAAACATCAATGATGTTAAATAGCATGAAATCAATTGTTGTACTTTTTTATCCATCTTTTTGTTAATGACAGTATCAAGGATACAAAATTAAATACGTTCACAGTTTTATTCTTACTCTTGTCTCAATTCCATTGGAATAATTAGTATTTAACATCATATTTCTCATTTAATTAAATTAAATATGGAGCATATAGAAGTGTGGCCTTTTTTGTAGTATGGAATGTAGATTAGGGTTTTAATACAAGATAATCGAAAGTATACGATTATTGATTTATTCAAATTCTAAATCATAAATCAACTCTTACATATGATGTATCAAAAACAACAAAATTCAATTACATTTTTTTCTTCTTGAAAAAGCGAATACCATTTGTCTGAAATTGGATCTTTTTGAGCATGACATTCAGTGTTTTAAGAGGTACGTTGGCACAAAAAGTCGAAGGTTTTGGATTTAAATTTTCAAGTGCTAGAAGATTAACAAGAATCGATGAGAAGGGAGAAGCCAATGAACTTGCAAAATTGACGTCTTTTTTTTCTTGGATGCAAGTTGGACAATTCTTGGCACAAAAGTTTAAGTTAATGATCCGATTTTCATAGATTATTCATAGGTCATACTTACACGCAATATGTTCTTAGTTGACCAAACACACGAATTTGTATAATCTGCTGCTTAATACTTTTCTTTTGCAATTTGTGTTTAGTGTTGGCATTATCATGGCTTACTTTTAAATGGAATTTAATTGACTATACATTATTATTTCTAGGGATGGCAATGGTTCGGTTCGATCAAAACCATCACTGAACCGTCAAATTTTTTGTCATACCATAACCGCACCATAACCACGTAAATCGGTTCGATTCGTATCTAGGTTCGACTCGATTCGTTTGGTTAATAACCACAAAAATAAATTATTTTTTATAAGTTAATCCGTCAAATTGATATAATATAATTTATGAAGAGAGAGTTAATGAAAACAAAAACATAATATTCCAAACGAAAATACAAACATTGTCCCAAATTCCAAATGCAAAATACAAATTTAACAAACAATATTATAAATATAACAATACTAAACTTTTCATTCATTCTTGATGTTTGTGCATTATAGTTACTTAATTCATGCTCAAGAATTCAAAAGTTTCAACCTTAACTCATATTCAATCTTCATTCTTTCCCACAACTCTTACTAGCATAAGTCAGCACTTAAAATTGATTCCTATATAGTAAATAAAAAATGTAAGTAGAGAATACAATGATATTACGTAATCCAAAATAATTTTAACTAAGATTTAAATAAAAAAATGTATCTCTTCATTAACTTCCTTCTCACTAAACATTGTCAAATCTTAACTCATATTCAATCCATGACATGATGAAGACAAGTCCCATGTTATGTTACTCTCTCCAGGGACCATTGTCCCTATCTTTTAGTTGATTTTGTCAAATCCCCCAATTGCAGATTTGCCCCTTTATCTTTTATTAAATCATTTTCTTGATTCTTCTAATAAAGCCTTCAACTTCAGTAAAAAGTTAGAACTAGCATAACATCGACCATGTCATTGATTTCTATTTTCCAAGACGATACAATCTATTCATTCAATGAATTCGATCCTCTACCACAAATATCAATCTTGGAAGAACTTGACGTCATTCTCCCTTAAACAACTCACGTGATATTTTTACTTTAATTCAAATATAAATTCGATACACAACCCATGTTCTCTAAGTAATTATATTATTTCTAAATCCATATCCCACACTCAAGTTTTTGAGTAGAGTAAGAAAGCAAACAAAGAGCAATTATTAAATAATTGAACTAAAAAAATTAGCCAATTGAGCAATGTATGAATACCAAATAAAGTTGCTTTATATATTTGGTCAAGTGTAAAAAAGCAGTGGATAAAGATACATATACTTAATGCTGCACACAAATTTAAATGATTGGAGTACCAAGGACCAAATGATGGGCCTGAATATGCTTAACTAAATGCGAATAACATTCTAATTAATGTTTTTCTAGCTATCAATGCATAAGTATCAAAGTAGAACATTCCTTCCTTTCATCGATAATTTTTGGCTACTAGTCTAGCCTTAAAGCTATTAAGAGAACCATCATCATTATAATTTCTCCAAAACATCCATTTACATCTAATAGGTTTACATCCGAGAGGTAAGTCGACAAGTAACCATGTATTATTTAACATAATTGAATCAATTTCATCTTTAATTCCCTCTTTCCAAAAGATGCTATTACGAGACACCATAGCCTTTCTATAAGTTTTAGTATCAATTTCCACTTGCAAAACAAAAGGAATTTTTCTTACAACATTCTTCTTATTTCCCTCTATTAAGTAAAAGGAAAATAAGTTGAGAGTCAATTTCATTCAGTTCTAAAGATTTATCAATTCGATTTTTTTTACTTCTTCGAGGTTCCTAGATTCATGAACGTCTTTAAAAGATGTTTTATTTTGTGTACAACTAGAGCTTGAGATCTCTTTAAGAGTATCTCTTAATTCATTATTTGAATATAGTGAATTCCCCAAAAAAAAAAAAAAGGACTCTACATCATTAGTTTCAATAATCACATTGGTCTCCAAATTTATTAATCTATATGATTTGTCATTACTAGCATAACTAACAAAGGCACATCTAATACCTCTTGGACCTAACTTGGTCCTATTACGATTCAAGTTCTTACAATAAGTAAAACACCTCTACACTTTGAAGTATCCAATATTAGGTTTTCTTCATTTCGATAATTTATAAGGAGAAACCTTTTTAAATTTAGAATGACTCATATTTAATATTCTACATTCACTCAATAATGTTTCACCCCATAAATTAAATGGCAACTTAGGATAAGTTAACATGGCATTTATCATTTTAACTAAAGTTTTATTTTTTCTTTCAACCAAATCATTTTGTTCAGGTGTCCTATGTGCAGAATATTGATTAATTATGCCTATTGTTAACAAAATGATTTAGAATCACTAGAAAAATATTCACATCCTCTATCACTTATCTTTATTTTCTTACTTAGGCGATTTTAAACTTCATTTTTATATATTTTAAATATATCAAATGCCTCATTTTATGTTTAATTAAATAAACATATATGTATCTAGAGTAATCATTTATAAAGGTAATGAAATACGTATTTTCTCCTATAGTTGACATATCATTTAATTTACATATATCTGTATGAATTAATTTTAATATACTAGAAATACTATTTACACTTTGATAAGGCTTTTCAGTCATCTTAGATTCAACACGTTTTATATTTAAATGTATCATTTTCATTATATGATATTAAGTCACATTTTAACATTCTTTTCATGGTACTCTTACCGATATAACATAATCTAGCATACCATAAAATAAATGAATCGGTCGAATAAGCAAACTAAATTTTATCATTAGTTATCCTGTCAATGGTACAAAATTTGACCATTCCTTCACGAAATTAGTCTTTTCCAACAAATTTCACATTAAGGATAGTACAAATTTACTGAACTTGTCAATGCTTTTTATGCCTGATTTCTTTAAGAGATTACCACTAACTAAATTCTTGTTCATATCATAAATATATAGTACATTAGTTAAGATAACCGTCTTACTAAAAGTAAAGATGATCTCTATTTCCTTTCCCAACCACTTTGGAGCCAACTTCTTTATCCATTTGACTCTCTTGATCTTTATCTACTTCATAATATGTTTTGAACAAAGACTTGTCATAAGTTGCATGTACAATTTCATATGTATCATACCACCATCCAAGAACTTTTCCTTTGATTACATTAATCTCGCTTGCAGTGACCACAATATTGTCTTCTTTGATGGAGTTCACATTTCCTTCGGAATTTTTTTGTTTCGGTATAAACATTCCTTTGCATAATGTCCGGATTTCTCACATACAAAACAACCACATTTGGAGTTCTTCTTAAACTTATTAAAGTTTTTTGAAGGATTTCTCTTGTTGGATTTGTTAGAATGTTCGATCTTTTCCACAGCATTGGCCTTTGAAGTGCCTTCATAAGAATTTTCATTCATATCTCTTGCCCTTAAATCTTCTTTAATTCGAAGATGTTTCTGCAAATGATCCAAAGAGTAATCTTGAGAGCTATTTATGATTTTCTTTGGATACTCTTTCCAACTTCTAGGGAGTTTTGCAATGATTGCTGCCCCTTGGAAAGATTCCGGTATTTCTATTTTGACTGTCTTCAACTTATTGAAAAGAACTTGTTATTAATGAATTTGGGAAAGAAATGGAATGTTATTAAGGAATTTAGAATTGAAATACCGTGAAATTAAAAATTACTTAGTACTTCTTCTCCGACTTTGTACTTGTTTTCCAAAACTTCCCATATTTCTTTTGTCGAAGATGTGTTAGTATAGAGATCATACCACCAGTCTCATAATGCATTGAGTATGTGACCATGGCAATCAATTCATACTCTTGACATTTTTCCCTTTCAACTCTTATGACATCAGTATCTCCATTTTTTGATTCCGGTAATATGCCAAATTTGGATCAAGAATGTAGAAAATTTTCAACGTCGTAAGAAGAAACCTCAACTTATATTGCCATATTGTGAAATTTGTCCCATCAAATTGATCTAGACGGACAAGATTTTGATTCATCAACTTGATCGTCGACATAGTAGTTTCATTTTCCATTGCAAAAATATCGTTTGAGATTGTTAGAAAAATTATTTCCACAACAAGAAGATGAAAATGAAAATGAAGGCTTAAACATGTAATTATTGTCCTCAAATGATATTTGTCCCGTTTTGGATTAAATTTGGTGCCTAAGGGGATTTTTGGCAAATGGTTTACAGGATTTATCAAGCCTTGAAAAGAATTAACACTTAAGCACAAGTGAAATCTTTTATAACTCAAGAACACGAGATTTTGAATACGAAGAGATTCAATACTTTTTGGAATGAGGATTGATCTCAAGTGTTTCTATATATTTTGTATTAATCATCAACCATCTATTTATAGGCATCAATGCTACATGAAGTGATGCATGAAAGGTGACAAAAATTCAAACAAAAATGACCTTTTTAACAGCTAGTAAAATGTTCTATGCGACCGCATAGAACAAATCTATGCAGCCACATAGGTCATTCAATCGCCCTGCAAATCACCATGCGACCGCAAGTCATCCTGGCCTATGCAATTGCATAGACTAATATTTCGGCCTCCAATTCCACTTTTCATTTCACATTATTTTTATTAATTTTGAACAACAATTTCAACATCGCCACACATTACGTTTTTTAAAACACTTCTTTTTATAGACGATTTTTAGGCACTTTATTCATTTTGTGAGTGCATCATTATGCTGGAAATCATTATTAAGTTCAAGTTTCAATACTTCAGTACGCGCATGTTTTGCATAGATGTTCATGCTAAGTTGATTCTGTTAGAATGCGTTAAAAGTGGCATCTATGTTCGGATCAAGCCTAGGCATTTGTTTCTGCACATCAGGAGGAGACTTCAGGTGGTTTTTTAATCTAAATGTTAAGGTAGGCCGCAGTGGCGGACCCAGACCTTTAGTATTGTAGGGTCAAAATTTTAAAAATAATTTTTTTAATAAATAACATAACATCAATAAAAATAAGTTAATATGTATTTTGACATTTTGAAAACGTCGTATAATTACATAATTTTTAATATTATTAAATAAATTTTGCTACTTATATAGTTTTGTTTATCATTTTATTGCCAAATGCTGAGCTAACATTGAGTAAATTAAATTGAATATAGAAATTAAATGAATTGAAATAAAATTCAAGTTTAGTTTAGGAAGTAAATGAAATTCAAATTTAAAGCAAATATAATTCAAAAATAATTCAAATTGCATTTAATCCATAATGACCCTAAAAGATTTATGTCATATTTCATGTAAGACTTTCGAATGAAACGATATAAATTATATTGAAAAATTTATCTTGCAAAAATAATAATTAATTGAATTTTTTAAAAGAAAAAACGAGTTAAGACGTCTTTTTTGAGGCATATGTTTGATACATATTTAACTATTTTCGATATTCGTTTAGACATTCGATATGAAAATGATGTAGTATTCGAAACAAACTTTTACAAGGCATAGAAGATTTGTGGATTCAGATAGCACATGATCGCAAACGAATTTTTAAAGTTAGGATATTATCGAAATTTTCAAAATACTAGTTTCAAACGCCCTACTTTAACATATCATAACTTTTGTTATAGTTGACCACTTCACATGCCATTAATGAGTGAAAAACTAGGTCATGAACGCTTCGAAATAATATTAAGAATGCAATATTTTGACTTCATTTGGCATCCCAACGAGTGCATCAAAGTATATATATAAAAAAAAAAAGGGGTACAAAATTTTGTGGGGTCAAATGACCCCACATGATCCCATGTGGGTCCGCCCCTGAGGTAGGGCACGTCATAGAACGAGTTGAGGTTGCCTTTTTTGGTCTTAGACGCCAAGCCTAACACTTTGTTGAGAATTATCAGTTAGTCCTTTGTTTTTGCCCGTCAAGATGAAGCTTCAGATGGTGCTTCAATGAATCAATGATCAAGACATTTATGCTTAGGGTGGTGCGCCTTTACGACCTTGATGCAATTGTTGGTGGCAACGCTAGTATTCAATGAGGCTTTTTTTGGGGCAACATGAAGTCCTTGTAGACAAATAATGGGCCCCTTAGGGCTAGCATGGAGCCCTCACGGACGCAACAATTATTCAGCATGTAATATTAGTATTCTAAGTCCAAGTTTCATATTCAAGTAGATCGAAGGAGTTTGATGTCTTTACGGCTACTAATGCTAAAATTTTGAATTTCCATTTAATTTTACCTATTTTACATATGATGTGCGAATGTCGAAGTAAAATAATTGCTTCTGCTGATACCAATGCCTTTGTGCCAAAAAAATAAAGCAAATAACATGTGAACTCTGAGGTGCCATGCACAGAAGAAATCTAGTAAAAATCATGTACTAGTCTAATGATAGCCTTTTTGGATAAAATAAAGCAAGAAATCTGATCCCAGACATTCTTTCAATCGGTTACCATATATAGGAGATTTCTAGCTCAAGAATTTCGATCATGGATCCTCTTTCAATCTGCAGCTTATTTTTAAGGAAATCTTCTTCAATCCTAATATAATTTGTTCCGTAGATGTTAAAGAAGTAAGCCTATGAAGGTTTCTTAGTTTGCATCCCCAGCAAGCTTTTCTTTATTGAGATACTCTTTCAATATCGAGACAATTTTTTCGTTACAGTCTTAAGAAGTAAGTCCACGAAAGGTTCTTAGCTTATCTCTAATGCATGTTTTCGGTTTATTGGGATACTCTTCCATCTTAAGTAAATTGGCTAGTGCAAGGTATGAGAAAATAAGTTCGCTATGGATTCTTAGCTTATCTTCCCTAATCGATGCTTTATATAAATACCCCGTGTAATTTAATATAGAGAGGCCTACACAAGAGCTCAACACACGCAATGGGGTCTTCAAGTATAAAAGAACACCAACAATCATCAATGAGTTAATGGAGAAAGACCTAAACATGACTTATCCTCCCTCTATGGTTCTTCAAATGAAATAAAATACAAATAACCCTCTAACTTAATGGATAGAGACCTTGTAAGGACCTCAATTCCCTTATAGGGTTTTCAATGACATCTCATTGGGAGATAAAGCCTTTTGAATCGTATGCTAGCTCTACTACATACTATCAGATTTTCCTTCGACGATGATGGCATCATGTTGAATCTTAGATGTTAGGCAGTTGGTGCGAATTTCCACAGACATATGATCGACCATTTTCTTTGTCGTGAAATGATCACAAGCCAAAATGTAGAGGCCTTACTGTGGCGCTCTTAACATATTTGAAAAATGTTTAAAAAGTTAGGAAACTTTATTGGTTTATATGTATAATATTTTATTGTGTAAATATGTTGTAAACAATGATTCTGTAACAAACAATTTAAATTTTTAAAGGAAAACAGGGACTAGAAATGCGATCACCATTCTCTTCCAAAAAAGTGGAGCACTTTGTTCGAAAATTAAAAAAATAAGGTTAACTTATTAACTAAACAAAAAGCATACTTTAAACCACATTTCAACCAAAAAAACAAAAAAACAGAAAAAACAAAAACAAAAACAAACTTTTTTATAGCTTTTAAGCTTAACCATACATGTTCCAAAGGGTGAGAATCTTATCTTCTCCTATTACATTATCTGTCGAACTCCAATCATACGTAGCAATTCCGACAATATGACGGTTATTCTGTAACATTTGTACTAGGTGATAGAAGAGGAAAAATTCTACTTATACATAATTATTGCACATAATGGTATCCATAATGTGATGTGGCAATCATCCGGTTGTTGATGTGCAAGTGTGAGATTTGAATTAAAGGTTAGATCAAGTACCACATGTAATTATGGACACTATTATGTAACTAATTATGTACATGTAGCACTTCCCATAGAAGAGGATGTATCGCTTAGAAACAACAGAAAATCTCCTTGAGCCTTTGCATTCTGCCTACAACGGCCTTTCTTTCTCCAGTTGCAGATGGCTTTGCTTCATCATAAAAATTTGCTGTGCCTTCAATTCTGTGCTCCGACTTCTGACTTTTATTAGGGTCGGGTGCTGACCCGGCTAGGAATCCTTCTACTGCATGCTTACTTCCAGTCCCACCCTCTATAGATCCTAGGATAACATTTCAAAAAGGGAAACATCAACAGTGCTGCAAATAGGTAGTCTGCCGCCTAAGAAATGAACTAAAGTTTGCCTCATAGGGTACAAAATACCAGCTAGAAAAGCCCGCCCTGGGCAATTGCATATGAAAACAAAGAACATGCAGCAATGTTTTGATAGTCTTTCAATGGGACAGTAAAATTAGAATTACAGATTACAGCCTGCGTCCATCTTGTTCGAGGCGAGATGATGACTAAGCAGAATCCTAGTCGAACTTTCATCGTACAAAATGTTAGGAATACAGATATACCTAATGGACAAATGTGTCTACAACAGTTCGTTTATGGAATTTTTTTCTTATTTTAGCATATGTGATTCCTCAGAACTTTTAGGATTAATTATCCAAAATCAATTTACTCAATCAAGTCAATGACATTCACTAACTGAAACTATGCCAAGAGTAATGCACAAAAGTGATGTGCTTTTCCCAAGTTTCCTGATATTATAGTTGTTTATTGATGTTGCTTCATGCTAAAATTCAAATTTTTCAAGATTTATTTTTCCGGTTTAAGTTATTGTAATTTCACACTTTCCCTTCTAAAGAAGCTTCATTTGTTCATGAATAGTTTCTAGTACTATCCATTTTCTCGCCTCTTTAACAGCTTAAGCTTTTAGGTGAAGTGGTTCAATGCAAGCATCAAGTCTAGACACCATTTGAAAACTACTGACAATGGTGGAAAGTTGAAAATGTGTATGAGATGCATTTTAAAACCTAAGTCGGAAAAATAATTGAACTTCATATCAGTGACTAACGAATTAGTGTGTAACAAGAATAGACGAATTTCCCAGATTTCACAATATATGCAGTATCTAGAATAGAGAATATGATGTGAATAGGGTCCACAGAAGAAGCATGATTGGAAATCTCATACCTAAAGTGGCTGGCTTCATAACCACCTTATCTGGTCTAACAGATGCAGAAAAACTATACTTGCTTAAATCCTTCCCCTGATCATTCAGGTCTCGCAACAATGCCAATGAATCAAAATATTCATCGGATGCCCGGCTTGGACAACTTGAATTCTCTGAACTAGAAGAAAGTGACTCTTCTGCAAAATCATTTAATTCCAAGAAGTCACCATTTGAGAAACATTCTTCCTCTGCAAAATCATCTGGAGAAGTGTTCTGGACCCTCTTTACCTATGAAATCACAATCAGATCTTACAAAACAGAGGACACGTAAAAACGAGTACACTGAGAGAGCCCTTGCCCCATAAATCAAACGCCGACAAACAAGAACACGTAAAGGGGAAAAATCACACTGATCCTTAAGGTTCTGTAACTTACCGAAGCATGAAAGGCCAAATACAAACAAAATTGATGCTATAATATTCCCACAAAAATGCAAAACATTTATAAAATATATTGTTTATCCTCATCATCTCAAAGTGTAACCAATATATGCAATTGCAGTTTCTTTTCCTGAAATCCATTTCTGCAGATGTGACTCCTGCTGGCAACAGATGAGAAAATCTTGGCATATATGTCATTAAAAAGCACTCTATTTTGAAAATTAAAACAGACAAAGGCTTTATCTAGTTAACCTTTTAATGTTCAACTGGGAAAAAAAGTGTTAAAAGCCACTCAAGCAGTTAATTAGATATGCAGTAAAAAAAGAAAGGAACGAATATCAAACACCAGAATCACTCTCACTGAAATAAGAACATAGCACTGCATATAATGTCCCATCCAAGCAGCAATAGGAAGAAGAGAACAGCCAGAGATGGATTATATATACTAAAGACAAAAAATAAGAGATGTGAAGACATGGGAAAAAATAATGCATACAACAAAAACAAGGATGCATAGCAAACCAACCTCGGATTTGCTTGAGGAATCTTGTGCTGAGGTTTTATTATTGCTCGGGTTAACTGATGCCACTGAACTATTGCATTTTGCACTAACATCAGTCATGTTGTAATTGGGCTGAATCTCATTTTTGGGGCTATGCGGACTGGAACGGAAAATTTTGCAAAGTGATTTAGAGTCCTGCACATTATCCAACCAAAGCGGCTTCTGACTGGTAAGGTAGGAGATGATGTATAGAAGATGTTAAGGAATAGACTAATGCCAGCTAGTTTCAGCTAATACCTTTGGCTCAGTTTCATGCCATAATCCCTTTTGTGTTATCCTGTACTCTTGCATAAGCCAACCAGTTCTTCGTCCATTAGGGGCTTCACCTTCAAAAAATTCGAGAGTAGTTCTCCAACCATTTAATTCAGAATCCAAATATATCTCATGAGTTTCTCCTTTGGTTTTCCAAAATCCAAAGGCTGACTCTTTTCTCTCATTTGAATGAATGAAGTACCAAATTTCATCTGCATATACCCAGATTTTTGAAGTAAGTATGTAGTTATCATGGTTAAATTGCAAGAATGCCCATTAAATGATCCGTGTTCATATGAGTACCAAGTCAACAACCAGATGGCCTCAAAGTTCATGTGAAAATAGAACATAAGAAAATTATCTGATTCATCATAAGAAAACGAACTCTTTTACCTTTTTAATATGTTTACATAGAAATCCATTCCTGAGTTAACAGATAAGACAATTTTAATAAGATCTATGATTATCAAGGTGAATCAAGAATGTTTCTGATTGAATCAATGAAATTTATAGATATATTGAGTTCAATGTATGCCGATTTCACTTTTCAACTACTTCTAGAGAAGTACTCGAGTAAAATGAATTTCTCATTGATTTGTACCATAGAATTTTTTGTCGAAAATTTAGTTTCTCATACTCCTGGAAATGTGAGAGGGTTGCAAAGTTCCAAACCTATGTTTGTATTTTTATTATCTTGCAAGTGGAATAGACATCTAACTCCTTGTGGAACTTTTTTTTTTTTCCCTCTCTCTCTCTCTCGGTAATCTAACGATTCTAACCTACCAAAACTAATTTGTGACAACAAATTTGAGAGTAAATTCCAAATCTCGTAAATAATTGCAGACTCACAACCTGACAGTCATGTGAGAGACATAACTAAGAATTTTATCCAATCCAGACGAAAGTTTAATCAGAGAGACAACGAAAATGTATTACATAACTGCAAAAGATGAGAACTTCAAACTAACCTGGTAAATTTGAGGGATTGTAC